GTAGGCTACTGATGAGTATCCGTACAATCCTGCATGGATTAGTCCACGTTGTACACAGAAACCGAGGGTAGCTAGCCAAAGGATGGCTTCTAGGTCCTAAGAGAGGTCTTCTTACCTCCATACAGGAGGAATAAGGGCACATGAGGCTGCAGAGTTGGGTCCCGTGTTCATCGGGATGTCAACCCAGGGACCCGTCCCACATCATATGGCATAGCGCTTGATATAGTCGTCCACCTTCTGGAAGGCCTCCTTGTCCCGAAGGTGATGTTCTGCAGCTTCAATATTCAGTGGGTCATCAAAATTCAAAAGATCCTTCAGTGTCCTCGTGGGAGTGCCGTCAATCGAATGTTCTTGCCTAAACTCTGTCCGATGTCCCTTGTCTCTGTGATGTTGGTGTGTCAGATTTATGTCAAGCATTTCACTTTGGGAAGCACCATGTTGTACAAATCAGAAACTTCAGTCTCAAACTGAAATTTTCCCTGGTAATAACCCTCACCTGGGGTCACTGTCAGCTGGAAGCAGTGGAGCTTGTTTGGGTCAGGAAAGTGGACTCTGCAGGTACAAGGTATGTGGGCTTCGAGGTCTGCAACCTCTTTGAGCAGGAGTTTGTCCCCCCAGAGCAGGGACCCCTTGAGGCCGTAGTCCTGCTTGGGTTTGCTCGCCAGTGTGAGCATCATGGCTGCCTTTGCCTGGGCCCCCGAGATAGGTGAGGCACCTCAGGACCCAACATCATGCCCGGCCGGCACGGTAACAGTGACAACCGGGAGATGTGACCCCTCATGGTGGAGCAGGACCGGACTGCAACTCTTAACATTAGCTCTGAACCCTGACCCATGATAAGTGAATCTCGCTGTTTCCAACATACCTTCCCCCTTTTACCCCAGTTACTATGCCAATCCATCTCATCCAGGGTCTTCCTCTCCTATCCTGTCCCTCCGCCCTTCCAAGCAACATGATCAAATATATGTTCAAAGTTTAAAAGATGAAGCTTTGCCATTTTTGCCTCCAAGAAGCAGTCTGGCTGCATCCTCTCCAAGCATTGTTCTTGTAGTTGTTGTGTACCATCAAGCCTGAACCAATCCACAGCTGATCCTCCAGTGGGTTTTCAGTGACAGTAAATAGCATGAAAGGAGACTGTCTATCCTCCTCCCACGGAATGAACAGCTTGTGGATTCGAATCACATGACTTTGGAATTGCAGTGTAGTTTCTTACCACTAGACCATCAGAGATGAAAAAGAAAGAAAAGGTTGGACTTACTTTTTCCAAATGCTCTTTTCTCTGAAATCTTAGCTCTGGTTTTCCTCTTATGTGTCCACAATGCCATTTTGTTTCCTTTAACTAACTTTTACTTTTTTAGTTGTTCTCAGTATAAATGTGTATCTGATACGTTCAAAGTTAAACTAGCTGGTTATTTGCTTTCCAGTTTGGGAAGATCAATAGAGCAGCTGGATTCTACAAAGGTGTGTTTTCTGTTTTGTCTGAGGTTTGGGTGTGGTCTGTTGCTAGAAAATGGGTGTGAGCTGACTGGATTTGGCCAAAAGCATTTGGACCCTCAGGCCTGTAGCCCTCAGGCCTATTTTTAGTTGTTTTCAATCAATCAATCATTCTAAGTTGTATAGCACTGTTCTGGCAATTTGCTGTACAGAGGTAACTGGTGGTAGCTGTAATGGCAAACACTGTAACACTGATGTGTCAAATGTGATAATGGTTACCCATGGTGGACAGTATTTGGTGGCGCTCCCATATTAAAACAGGCTTGGAAGTAGGAGTGGCATCCACTTCCGAAATAGCTTCCCTCTAAATAATCTATGAACTTAGAGAAATGATGAAAGTTATACATGTTCAGGACTTTTGTTCACTATAAGTCATCTATGATTTAATGGCACTTAACAACAACAATAAACATTAATATCACATGCAAGGAAAATATTGCTTA